TGTGTGTATGATTTTTTTGCTGACTCATATTTTCATTTAAGAGACTTTACATCATTCTTTAAAGCCCATTCTGTCATTGCGGGAGAAAAGGTTTGTGTCTCATGGTGGCAGCTTGATGAAGCCGAAGACTTCATTCTTCATACTGAAGCGACTTTGGTCTTTCTTCACAAATGTCAGCCCCGGTTGTGTCTGTTACTTCGTTTTTATTTATTTATTTTTCCACAATTGGTCTCTGCAGGAGCTGAAGGTCTTAGTCCTGTCAATGCTCTGCAAACATCGCTGGGCCACCATAAAAAAATCAACACAGGAGGAAGCAGGTAGGAGGACTGACACCAGAGGGTGAGCAAAGACTTGATGTTTTCATAATGACTATCTTCCAGTTATCATTCTGCCGAGTTTTAATTAAGGCTTTGCTTCAGAAGCGTAAAAACTGCTCGTTTAAACCTTTAAAAATGACTCATTCAATTCCATTTCCACAGGAAGAAGGTTAGCCCCGGCTCACCGTTTAATAAATGCTTTGACGAGGTTTTTGATTCGCTCAGACGTGCCTCCGCAGCAGAGCGAGTCCGATGGGATTATTCTCAGACGACGGCAGAGCAATAAATAAAACCTTATTCCCAAAATGTTCAAAAAATTAAGTGAAGAAGCAAAAGAAAACACAATTGTCTCATTTGGCAAAATAATCTTTCTCAGTATGAGTAATAGAAATCATCCCATGACTGTGTTCACACCAGTCCTCGTAAGTCCGCTGCGATCGAACACCAGTTAGTTTTTCTAGAAAGTCCGGTTCATTTGGGGAGGTGTGAATGTGCAATCGGACAAAAAAAAACATGCTCTGGTCCTTCTACCATGCCTGGTCTCTGTTCTGTCTCTGTTAAAATACTTGAAGTAAACTGTAGTGCGGTTCAAAGTAAAATGTGAACACCAAGTAAACCGGACACTGCTCCAAAAGCAGGAAGCAAACCATACCGTATTTACCCAGAGCATTCTGGGTAAATACAACAAATGCGTTAGTGGGTGACATGGCTCATAGTCTTTAGCCAATGACAAAAGAGAAAAAAAATCTGATGGCGCTCTTATTTTGCTTTCATCTCTTGAAGAAAGAAGTCATGGCCAGTGTCTCCTTCTGAGGTTTTTGTGCCGTTTCCTTCAGAGACTCCTGGTGCGGCGCCACCACAGGCGAGGAGGTGAACAGGTTTTTCTATGAGTTTGGTTAGTTTGACACAGTGCAGTGTGAAAGCAAATCACACCTGGTGAAAATATAAGAAATGTTGCAATTTTATTCCCCAATCAAACCCACTCTACCAGACTATCAAGTGTGAAAACACTGTTAAGGAAGCTTTAAGGTTTCAGATTGTAAAGGAAACCCATAAAAGACCTGGTGGGTCATCAAAAGTAATCCCCCGCACCCAACCTTTTATCAGGTGTGACAACCCTCTATGTGGCCATACAGTCATAACAGCTGTGACATGTGGGTATCGCTAGAGACATCGATCTCTAGTGATCAACAGGTAACAAGGCTGCTTAGGCTACTGACTACTATTTGTCACTCAAGCTCCATTCTCCTTCTTTTCTCTGATTTCGTGTTAATTGTTGTTATTTCAGCTCTTAACTTTATGTTGTCTCTCTTTTTTCTATTCTTAAACCATACATCTGGTCTGACATTGTGGAGAAGTGGACGCATCAGCTCAGCGGCTTGACGCAACCCGCTGGTTTTCTGTGATAGAAAATCAGTTTATAAAAATAAACTGAACTTGACCGCATTGGATCAATTTGAAGTGTTGTGGAATCTGTCTGTCTGATAGGGTTGAATAATTGCTATTTTTGGAAACTGCGTTAGGGTGATATTTGTTGTGAATTGTTTCTGTTTAAATAAACTGAATTGAATTGAAACAGCCTACCTAACAAATACTTGTAAAAAAGGAAAGAAAAAAAAACAGGAAAAGTTTGCATACATTTTTTGAGTCTTATTTTCTTAATTGACCGTCTCTCTGATTTACAGTCTGCAGGTTGTCTGCGCCTCTTTGTGCTGCAGCCATCGCTCTCTGCCTGAGCTGTTTGTTGCTGCGTTTTTGACTGGCAGATAATAACGACGAAGTCGCTACAAGCTCAAACTTTATTTGTACTACACAAACATAACAAGTCCTCAGTGGCCTCAGCTGTGATGATGAAGAGCAGTCGACACCACGTTCCCTCAGAATCCTCCCCGGAATCCATTATGTCGGCCTCCATTGTTATACCAGGTCTGTTGGTACAGAATTAAAAAGCGTCTTGGTCTGACAAACAACAAAAACCTCAGTGAAGAAGTCGTTCATTTGCTATTCTGTCTGCAGGTGAAGAATGTGACAGCTGAGCTGCCAGAAAAGATTGCTGTGTTGTTGACAGCAGGGAAAAGTTTACCTGGGGCCGGAAGTAAACAACGGAGAACGAGAAAGTCAGGACAAGCGAGCAAACAAAACAAAACAGTCTGAAAAGTTTCATTCAAAATGATTTTGTGGGCTGTGAAAATATTCACTTTCACACATATTTATCAGTTTCTTTTGACTCGATAACTATGCACAAAAACACCATCAGCTTCTGGGGACAATGGTACAAAATATGTCTGACTGCAACTGTTAGAATGTTTTCTCGCACTTTTATTTATCATTCAGTCATTATTACATGTATTTAGCGTACATGCTGCCTCGTTCTTCTCATTTTGGTTAACCACGACTTCTAAGGCGGCTCTTTCATCCATTTTGCCCGTGCTACGCTAGCAAGCGTGACGAATCAGCTATTTTGATGCATTATTTTAACTTGTGATTTGTGATAAAAATAGCTGAAAAACAGATTAGATTTTATGATGATTTTTTTTTTTTATGTATCGGTTTCCACGGAGGTCTTCAACTGCCAGAGGAAGGAGATAAATTCAGAATCAGCATCTTGTTTTAACAAGAAACTTTCAAGATTGCACAAGATGCAAAATGAGAAAAAATGTAAACTTTTATCTCATAATTAAGACTTGACAATATCATCATAAGATATTTTTATCTCATAATGTTGAGATAATTAGAATCTGGTGAGCTAGCTAAATTATAATACTATCTCATTATTATGACTTAAGTAATTCATAATGAGATACTATGTCAAAATAATGTGAGAGTCACAATTATGAGATGCAAGTTTGTTTTTTTTCCCCATCAGAGTGGCAGAAATTGGCTTCTATATGATCGGATTTTATTGCCATGCTGTGGCAGTTAAAGACTTCCATAGCTTTAAATGTTTCTGTTTCTGCCTACCTACCAACCCTTTCACATAGTCCCAAAAAAATACGGTGAACTTTTCTGACTTTCTGCCGAACACAAACTTCCAAAGGGCGTCAATTCTTTTTTCGAGTAAAAACTCTTTCATTGGATGCAGTAACTAATGGGTAGCTTCACCTAATCAGAGCTAATCGCACACAAAATTAAACAACAATGATTCCCCGAGGCAGACGAGTGTCATTGAGCCAGCTTAAGCTCATTCTCCTCCTCCTATTTCACCTTTTCAAGCCAAATGGAGACATTTATTCCTTCCGTGGCTGTGGAAGGTTAATGGCACATTAGTGTCATGGTGTTTGAATCAAACCCTCGTCTCTCAGAGGCCCCGCGGTGTTGTGTTTGAACAGCGGACCGGCTGATGCACTGAAAAAAATAAGTCATTGGATGAACATAAAAAAATTATGGAAAGGATTTCCACGTGATTACTTTGCTTTATTTCAGCACCATGTACTTGTGTTACTCTTATTTAAAGCAAATGTTAGGTCAACCTAATTTATTAAGATTATTCCAATGTAAAGCAAATGTGTTGACTTAACTTGTTACTATGGTTATTCAATGGGCGATTCTAAATCAAACATGTTGGCTCAACATAATATATTGTGGTTATTCTTATATAAATTAAATGAGTTGGCAAAAAATAATTTATTATGGTTGTTCTAATTTAAACCAAATGTGTTGGCTTAACCAGAATTATGGTAATGCAATGGATGATTGTAAATCAAATGAGTTGGCTCAACTCCATTCATTAAGGTTATTCAAATTCAAATGAAATGTGTTGACTCAACATATGTTTTAAAGGTTCCTTTAACTCAGTTACTATAGTGTGACCCAGTGTAATGCAATACAGCCCGCCCAACTAATCTGCAATGTTTAGGACCAAATCATTGATGTAACTTCATTAAGATGAATATAAATAGTTGAAACCACCTTATTTTACAGTGGTACCTTCACACTACCTGATTCAGTAGGTCCAACTCACTAAAAGCAAGTTAGCTCAACAAATATGCTTCATGCTAAAAGACAGCTAGTTATACGTGTGGAAATCCTTTCCATTATTTCATGATGTTAATTCAAAGACATATTTTCAAGTGTTAATCAAGCATTTTAAGATAGCACTAGGTGAAAGTGTAGGAAGAACACTCAACAATTAGAAAAGGTACAACACAATTGTATTTTCAGAATTATTATACATCGTTTTTTTACAGCACAAAACACAGCTGAGTTGGACATTGAAATAAAAAAACAACTACAAAAAGGTTACAGTTTCATTTCCATCTAATTCTTTACAACATAAAACATGTCAGTATAGTTGCTCAACTTAGAGAACTGTAACAATATAAATCTTTTCTACTGCAGACTTTAAACACTCATTTTCCATATGAAACTTTACTCAACTGAGCGGTGAGTTTCATATTGAGAACTTGTGCTTTCTTTGATAAGTTCTTTCCATCCAATTTCATTATTATTTTCTGTATTACTTCAAAGGTATGCTTGAGTTACTGAGCAAGTTGAGTGCTGAACGCACTAAACTTGAGGGTAGCTCAAGTTTAGTGCGTAGATTAGTCCCAGCAGCATCACTTTTGCAGAAGATACACTGCCCAAGCTGTTCATAACTTCCACCTCCTCCAGGACAATCCCAACATCCAGATGAGGATCGGCACCCTCTGCTCAAATGACAACAATTCCGAGGACAGTCTCAGCTATGGCCATTTCTGCACATTCATCAACGTCCTAAGGGAGTTAGGGAAGGGTATTGGGGGGGGAGGAGACAATTCACATGTAATTAAATAAATAAATTAGACTGACATTGAGTCACTCATGGACCTTAGTTGTTGAAAGTATTTTGATAACTCTTAGGACCTCTATTGTAAACACAAAGAGAATTTAACATACCATGTACTCCCTCACCAGCTTCTCTGGATCTTCATTTAGGTACACACAGACCTTTGAGGATGCACTCTCGTCTGACCTCAGCAGTGTCTTCCTAAATATGCAGATCAAAAAACAATGAACAATCTCAAAACTCCAGCAGTATAGGTTCACACACTTGAAAACATAGCTGCATTCAAAGGAAGTCACAACAAAAGTGATCAGTGGCTTGCAGTCTGTTTGAAAGATATTTAAAATTGTTAGTATCCCTTCATTATGCCATGACTAAAATTGAGTATAACATCTCATTTAAACATCTAAATTAAGATGTTATAGGTTTAAATAAAGACATGAATATATCACGAAAGAAATATGTGAAAAGTACAGAATGGTCAACACAGTCTATATCCTTCTACTTTAATGAATATGCAAAGCATTCCATGTCTTACAAGTACATGGACAGTAACGTCACATATGCCGGTGTTTAAGTGTAAAATGTTTTAAACAGGTCATATCTACGAGACAGAGAGAGAGACTACACTCCTTACATTTCCACATCCCCACGCAAATAAAGACAAATAAAACAGACTGGCCAAATAAATGTTTAGCTGAACCCTAGCTTTATAAGCTCTCTAACACTACATTCAGTAACTTTAGATCTGGCAAAACTTACTATTAGCCACTGAAATCTATAACTTGATAGCCGATGAGCCCCTTGACCAGTACTTACGCAGGTGGATTACAGACAGGTGATCAGGTGATGTTCTGAAAGAGATCAGATATATTTTCAGCCATTAAAATATGCAATTCATACTGAAGTGAGTTGTATCTTTTAGTACAAGTCCCTTGAATGCCTCATGAATATAATCACTGGACACATGCAAACACATATGTACAGAATAGTGGTGAATTGAACATGGTAGAAAGCAATAGTAACATAGGTCAAAATGAGCACAATCAACACAAAAAACATCAACATTTCAAAATTCAACCAATGAACTTCAATATTGTTTCTGAGCTACAATTATTTGGGGACAACAAAGAAGAGTCCAAAAAAAAAAACAACATCTTTACAGCAGAGGAATATGTATTTTAAAGAAAAAAAATAGAAAGCTCAAGTCTGTAATAATGGATAATCCATTGAGAGTTTTAGCCTGACAAAATATACTAGAAATCCATAACTAACAGGTATTTTAGGAACATTTAACAAAGCTCAGAAAGCAATGCTTTCTGCAGGTTTCACCGACTGAAATGTAGGACTTTTTATTACCATAATTAATTAAGAATCTCGATGATGATAGAAAGGTACCAAAGTGTGTGTATCTACATTTACCTCCATAGTAACATTACTGAAATAGAATTAAAATAGTTAGAAATAGACTGTTAGATCAGTGTGTTAAAAATCCACTAAACCTCCAGGGAGCTCAGGAGGAGCAAAACTGTGACATTTCCGGGGTCCATTTGTGTCTCTGGCAGCAGCTTTGTACACTACATATGGCTCTGCAGAGTTTTTTCGCACAGAATGTACCTAACATGGTGCGGCGATAAATGTAAACAAAAAGCTATCTGCTTAACCTAACCGACTTAATCTACAGAACATGAAAATGTGACACAAGTATGGAACAAGTAGAAAATGGTGCAAATGGTAGAGAAATTTTAAGTTACATATTTTTATATGGATTTAGATGAAAATAGTTTGACTCTTACCTTCTTCAAATTAAGTAGATGCACGCCAGGAATCTCCCCTCTGCCCTTGAAAAAACCCAACAAGGTGCAAGCCAGTTATCTCGCGTGATTTTCCGTAATCTCTTGATGTCGCTGGATCCTCTTCAGCGGGAGATGAGTCTGACACAATAGCGCTTTGGAACTGACGTCACTGTGTTTTTTTTTATTAGATTAACTTTGACAAATATTGATATTGAATAAAATAAAATTATATATATATATAATAATATATATATATATATATATATATATATATATATATATATATATATAATATATATATATATATATATATATATATATTGAGGGTCCTGCAGTATCTTGGCACAGCCAAGATACTGCGCAGGACCCTCAAGCTCCCAGGCTCAGAGGATAAGAACCACCCGCGGTGGGTATATATATGTTAATTAGATGTATTCAAGTTGAGATAACGTCATTCAATAACGTTAGCTCACCTTTAATACATTTTAGTTCAGTTGAGAGAAAAAACCGATTGTCTCGCGTGTTCTCGCGTGATACCCCGTGATCTCACTCGTTGTCGTCAGCACAATATCAGTCTAACTATAATGAATCATGTTAGCTCAACATGATTCAATTTTATAAATGTGAAGTCGTGGAATATCTTGTTTATCCAACATGATTTTATCACGTTTTCGCTTCAAACCCAACATTATTGTGTGAAAGGTACATGATATTTTTTGTTAATGTAATACGCCCCGACGTTCTTTTTTTTTCGGTGGAAGATCTAGCTGACGTAATTGAATCACGTTATCTCACCTTGAATACATTTTATTCCATTGCGAGAGAAAACCGATTGTCTAGCGTGTTCTCGCGTGATATCCCGTGATTTTCCGTAATCTTGCGTGAACTTGCGTGATATCCCGTGATCTCACTCGTGGTCTTCAGCATAGGATCGGTCTGACTATAATGAATCATGTTAGCTCAACATGATTACATTTTATAAACGTTGAAGTTGTGGAATATCTTGTTTATGCAACATGAATGTATCATGTTTTTAGCTCAAACATGGAATTATTTAGTTAACAGTACATGATATTCTTTTGTTAATGTGATAACCCCTGAGGTTCCTTTTTTACAGTGTGTTTAACAGTACGGTCGCGATAACCGTTGGAACAAACAAACGAGGAAACAAACCAAAGAGAAAAGCAATCAACAAAAAAGATGCAGGCGGGGGGAAAGGGTAGAGGGGCTTGTTACTCAGACGTCGGGATAATCTGAGCGTCTGGTTGTGTGCGATATGTGCTGATCCAGGAGACTGCCACATTTGTTTGTGTCGCCGTCTCATTTGCATGGCGACTGGTGCGTTTTGTCCTCTTCCGAAAGAACATCCGAGGACATCTTTAGACGATGAAAGGCACGGCCATAAATAAAACAGTAGCGGCCTCATGTTGCTGACGCTTGTATACTTTTGGGGAGATTTCTTATCACATCTTAATTACGCCCATGTACAAAGCCACCGGTCTCTCTCCGAGGACGGCGCCCACAGAGGATGGAGGAGCAGAACGCAAACGTTTGGCGGTTCTAAATAAGATGTTATTAAACGGGGCTGCATTAAAATAGACTTATTAGCATGGATAGAGTAAATAAAAGTTGTATTTGAACTCCCCTCCATCATTACAAATCAGAAATAACAATGTTTGCTCGATTCTGTGATGTTCTGTAACTATTCTGAGACTGCTGTCAGAGAATTGACTGAACTTTGACCTCCTGTTTTTTTGTTTTTTTTTGTAAAGTGAGAAACGAATGTCCACGTCATAGTCAATAAGTTGTGTGTTTGTGCCAAAATAAACAATAAAGTGTCGTTGTAGGTGAAAAATTTGTTTGCATTAATTAGGGACATGGACAATGTTGGGGTGAGAAAAAGTCTGGTCTTATGTCGAGACCAAATGTGAGTAAACAAACACGGGCGACCCGGAAGACGGAATGGCAATAGTGGATGATGTTCAACAGAGAGAAAAACAACACAAAGACGTTTATAACGTCCACCAGACTTTCTGGTGTGCTGCTGTTTTGTCTCCAGGATATAGAATTCCCCTTCATGTTTCCCTTGCGTTCTAAATGTCAATCATTTAGCTTGGAACAACACGTGACAAGAATATCCCTAAAGATTATCTTGAGAGACATCCAGGTAATCTGGTTGTACTTAAGATAGTCACAAGAGGAAAATCTGGACTAAAATCGGCACAGAAATCTTCTGCCTTCCAGGCATTAATGAGCAGCATGTTGGTACTGGTCCAACCATATTAGCCATCATCCAGTGGGCTTCAATTGGCTTGAGGTGAGAAGTTTCTGAGGCAAAAATCAAGAACACAAGATTAATTTCTGGATAGTCCAATCCTAATCTGGAATACGTCTACACACATCCTTGAACTTTGCTAACGTTTTTATTTTGCTACATCAAAACTTGGAATGAAGTTATTGTCATAATATCTGCATTATGCTGTGAGAAACACACTCTGAGGTATATTACTTAGATTGCAAATGATGAGCTAAAATAATAACAGAAGAGAAACCCTAGGGAGGTAACATTAACTGTGAGAAATTCAATTCCTTCTGGAAGCTCATTAGAATATAAATCAAACGCAGGCGAGTTGATGTCTGACTCCTACGCATCATCTATTGTACCGTGGCAGTCGTCCAACTAAATTTCAACAAGTCAATTTAGTTTCTTAATGAGAATATATGGCCACGGAGATAACGACCTTCGGCCCACAACTGCCTAGATTTCTTGATCAGAAACATTACAGGGAAGCCTCAAAAACACCCCGCAAATGAGCTCCGCGTCTTCCTTCCTGAGAACGCCGATCAGGTTCGGCATTGCGCGCAGACGAGAGTGTGATGGCGGTTCGTCGTGTTTCTCGCACGGAGCCGTCCCGCCTATTAACTATGTGTCTGCTGCCATCTCTGGCGCCGGGAGGATTTGACACAGAACCTTAAATGAACTTCATTTGGGATTGGATGTCACCGTCTAAATTTTTCTTTTCTTTTTCAGTCATGACCTCTGAGTGCGACTCCTCCCGATGCCCGTTCGGTAACGAAGGACCCACGTTTCCTCGTGCGGCGTGGAGGGCCAGGGCGGGCCTGGCGACTTGTCTCGTCTGATTGGGATGTGAAATTATTAACGGATGCTGCTGCTCTTAAGCCAAGTTGCCCATTACTGTTTGGATGGCTCAAATGACAGGGTGTGGTAATAATGTGAATTACCAGCTTGAGTGCAATTGTGTTCTGCTGCAGTATTCGCATTTTTCACACATTTTGTAAAATGGAGGGAAAGTGCGCCCTTATTTTCCGTATAGTCAAAAAGAATTTTTTTTAAATCCATCAGTCTGCTTTGTATTTTGTGGAAAAAGTGAAATTAGCAAGCTGACCATAGACTATACACATAATGCTGTTAGCTTGTTGCTAAATGTTTACAGCTCTGAGTTTGCACGCGCTTCTGATTCTGAAACTTGACCCAAAAGATCTGCTCCAAAGAATGTGCTAACCTTAATGTGTTCACACCCATAGAATGGATATATATATATATATATATATATATATATATATATATATATATATATATATATATATATATATATATATATATATATATATATTGTTAGAATGGTCCTGTGGCAGTCTTTGGTTCTATCAGAGGAGAAGACGTCCCGGAGCCAAAATACACTGGAACGCTAACTGTGAGCATCAAAAACCCAGGGGAGCATGATCCTTTGAACATTTTTTCATAATGAATCTCATATTGATTTTGTTTTGAACTAGAAGGAAGAGTTTAAATTGGAAGCGCTAATATTATACTCCCACATGCTCAAGATGAAGAGACACACACACACACTCACACACAAGCAGGGTAGCAGAAGACGTTTCTGACCATGAAGAAGCCATCTCTGTGATGAATCCTGAGTCCTGGAGAACAGGAGGAGTCCAGGAGGAGTCCTGGACTCTGACAGGTGATCGATCGCTCCACTTGAAGCGGTTTGTGGAGAAGACGTTTCCACACAGCACTCACTCTCAACGTAGCGAAAATTGACAGAAGGTTAGCAAACTTACATGCCTGATTGGGTTTAATGTGTGGAGTGAATCAGTCCACCGATTTGATTTGAAGTCCTTCTGCTTTTTGTTCTGCCTGGAACCGTGTTCTTGCTCTCAGAGCGAGAGGTTTTTCTTTGCCGAGGGGCCACTCGGGGTCCATGATGCGTTCAGTTAGATTAGCCTGTCAGGTGTAATGTAATTGAGTGTGGAGATTAAAAAGAAGATATCACAGAGCATTATTGATTCCAACATGTGGATGGGGGTCACATGTACCGCAGTTTATCAGCTGCTCAGACAGACAGCTTGGGAAGGGGGAGCATTTTTACAACAATCCTCTGGGAATGAGGGGGACGGATTAGAAGGTCGCACCTGCTCCTCTGTTCATGTTTTTAAGTTGCTTTCACTGTTTGTTCTCCATCTCATTATGACTCCAAACTGGGGAAAAAGGAGTCTTGAACAATGCATTAAACACTATTTGGCTTGAACTACACTGATTTTTTTTAAATGGTGGAACTCTTTGCTTTGCTTTTTATTTGGACAGAATTAAGTTAGTTTGGATCTTTTCCAGCTTACATGATGCACAGGTCATGTGACCCACTGTGGGAAAGAAGATGTGAAAGTGTCTTTCTACTGGAACAATTTGAGTCTTCTACCCACCAAAGTACAAAACGCTGCCATATTAGTCCTGAGCTAATCCACTGAAAAGCCTCTTCGGTGGAACAATGCCAAACAGGGCAGCGAAAGGCACAAGGATCAAAAAGTTCTTTAAGAATTTTAAAGAGAGTGAAAGAACAACCCGATGCGGTGCAGCTAGGGACAAATTCAGGACATTCTGCATGTAGAAAGGCTGCAGGACCTTGTTATATGGGTCAACTTACATTCTGCAACAGACCAGTGACCTGCTCAGAGTGTACTCCTCCCTAATGCCCAACAACGACTGATAGGGACCGAATCCCACCTGGACAGTTTCTGACTTTGACCAGTGTTGGATGATGTACTGTCTCAAACGAAGCAACAGGTTGACAAAGAGACAATACATTCATTCCTTGTATAATTTTAGCCAGTCTACATCAGAAATGGCAGCATTTAAAATTGCAGTATGCAATTTTTATGAAGAATAAATACTTTACATATTGC